AGCATGCCTTCCTCTTAACAGAGAAAAACTATGATGCTCGCGACCACCGGGAAAGGACTTCCGATGGTCCTCTTTCTTAAATCTTCTCAGCTGCGAGATAAAGGAGTCCGTTCTCTGCTTTGCCCTTCCTTTCCAAGAATTCTTCTTATTTGACAGCTGAAGGACCAGTGGAAATGGTCTCAGGGGTTTACACATGCAACTTCTCTATTAGTTGGCAAAAGTTTGGTGTTATTGCGCTCGCAAGTAACAGTGGAGACGTAAAGTGTAACTCTAGTGATGAAAAAATATCACTGATTCGGGGAGGGATTCACGGTGATGGACAGAGCATATGGTAAATCCCAGGCTTCGCCTCTAGATGGTTCCTGATTCTGCAGAAAATCGAGTGCATGGCTCACTTCAGAACGGTATTGCCTCACCTCACACTTTGCTTTTTGGCTTAATGAATCTTCTTTTTGATATTAAAAAGACTCAAAGCACCTAACCTATCGCTCAAACTGAACCTATTTATCATTTAGGTTTTCGACCTGCTTTTCCGCTTCTATTCGCCATGGTTGTCACTGTTTGGAGCTGTGATGTGCGTTACGATCATGTTCATAATGTCATGGCCTACAACACTGTTCACATGCGCGTTCTTCTTCACAGTTTACACCTTCATAAGACACATGAAGCCAGGTACTTTTTACCGTTGGCCTTCCATTCATGTCCTTCACTCCTTTTACTGGCCCCCGACCAACGCTTCTCCATTGAACGGGTGCAGTACGAAAAAGGAAGGGTGAAGTATGATTGTATAATAGTAGGAAGAAAGGAAAAAAACCTTTCCGAACCCTACGTTGATGTGATGGAGATATGGTTTCGCCCAGTAGCTTGCTACCAATGTCCACAAAGAGGAAAAGATAATTAGGTTCAAGGTTTATCAATCATTGTAGGAAATTTTATGCACTTGGGCAACTCCACCTAAAATCGTCTAAATGCGATTTTACAGTCCAAATCGTGATTAACCATTCAACCTAAAATACCATTGCTTTCAACTGACCTTCTATTCCAAACATGTCTCGTGTTCATTACCCGATCCCATGGGATCCAATTTTTGGTTACCCAAAATGAAACCAGTTAGGTTCACATACACGGACCATGCACAAGTGTTGATGCGGTCTGACCATGTGTAGATCAGCAGTATGGGTAAACACAGTTTCAACCCTTGTAATTGTTTTGGGTTGATTAAGTTTGTTTGACGGGGACTCTATTGATGTGTTATATTTGTCTTCTTCGAAGATCAATTTTCGGCTCTAGTACGGGTTATGCCACTGCCTTTTGATATTTCTGATATCAGTAATCATCACGATTTTTACTAATATGCCTTTTATTCTATGCAGTACATAGATAGCTAGCGATTGGGAAGACAACTAGCACTTCTATAGAATTCTACAGAACCATTCTATCATAGACCATTCAGTGTTTCAAATGAAGCGTCGCCTTCGACAGCTCTAACGTGGCTGGAAGTTTGGGATCATGCTCATTCCACCAATCCCATCCCATCTTCCCTGACTATTTCGATATTATTGCAGAGCTATTTTAGCAGATGATCATTTGCAGAGCTTGATTTCAGACGTCAACTGGGGCACATCCACTACTGCTACCACGTATAAGCACGCATTGAATGGAGTGATGAAGCTCACCAAGGACGAACCCTCATGTTAAAAATTATCGCCCACAGGTGCGACTCTTCGATAATACTGAACAGACATTACTGCTTTGTAATGTTCCGAAAATGATTGGCAAAGATTTTTCTCGTCAGTTATAATATGTAATTCATAGCTCTTATAGCTCAAGGTATTGTGTCCCCATCAGCACCATAAGCTGACCATTTGGAGCAACGCCGGGAGTAGACTGTCTAGTAGAAACATGACGCAAGTGAAGGCACTGAGTCCACATAGAGGTCGCGCCACCTTGGCCACTCGAATGCAGGTTGAATCGCTATTGGTTAGGTACTTGCAAATATGGAATCCCAGTGCAACCCTCTTGGCCCATAGCAATTGTTCCAAGGATCGGCCGCAGCTACACACGAAGCGGATTACGAGGCTGATAGCACTCCAAGATAAAATGAGGTGTTTCCCAAAAGTATAGGCACCTCAGTTTTCGTTTTCCTTTTTTCCTCTTATCTGAAAGATTATTTCTTTCCGATTCTTTAACAGCTGGCCTTGCGATTGCAAATAGGGAAACAGAGAAACGAAGATTACTTGACAGGATAATTTCGATTGATCCCTTTTTCGATACGCCATGCACTTGACTTCCATCTGGAATGTAATTTTTGACTTTGTGTCTGATTAATACCGAGCCAGTCCGTGTTCCAAGCCTATAAACCTAGTTAATAGGTTGGACATAACTATCCGCCGTTTTCATTCCTCTCATAAGTTTATTAACA